TTTAATTAGGAAAACGAGCAGTACACAGTGTTAGCCACTTTCAGTCTCTAAAGTTGTACATTTCCTATTTGATAGTTTCATTCAACAAGATTGTATAGAGTTACACATACTATTTTATTAGGCCTAATAGCAAAGATGAGAATTAATCACCATGATATGAGTAAATCACAGGTGTGATGAAAGATGAAGATCAATAAGAAAAATATGGAAATAAGGTTCAGAAAAGTGTAAGACGATTTTCACAAATAAGGCATGATCAAGGGATGCCTGCTTGACTGAGTGACATTTTGACGCACAGTGGTTAACAACTGACCAGAACGCCTGTATGTATTATTACTGTCTTTCACAGAGGATCGAATGAAACAAAATCATTCACTGACTAATGAATATTAAATAATGATTTACTTTCTAACTAATTATTTTCTACTACATAGTACGATATTTACTTGTACTAGTAATTTCCCGTTCGAATTTTCGGACTGAATTAATCAACTACATATATAAGAAAGCGAACCTCTTAAAGGGATGCCTCGATTTCTAACTTGCATTCACCTGTTTATTTAGTGATAGCATGAACAATAAAGTTTAAGCATTGCAAACGTACACTGCAACTTCACCCAATTACAAATAACGTATGGAATTTTATCTTAACGAAGATAAACAATATTCTGGAGATATTGATGCAGTGTTGATAAATGCTGAAAACACTAATGGGAGTTTACCATGATATTATCACACACTGTTATGAAGTGGGAAATGAAACGAAAATAATCTACAGTATACAACCGTGAGAAATATATGCATATTTTTCACATACATTCCATTATGGTTAGTCAAATCACCGAGATATGGCATTTTCCAAATAGGTGAGAACGGATGTGAAGATTCTTGTCAAAATACTACTCCAGCTACAGAATAGAGTACATACTTGGGTGACTCTTAATTATAGCACCCCAAAACGAAACTACCTAGTGAACGGATTGGTAACCTCGATGAACTTATATGCAGAAATTGGTTTAACTTGACTATGAGGACTCCTGTGAGAAATTGGGAGGTTTTCTCGGAACATATACAAGCACACCATCCTATGTAACCTTTATTAACATTGCATTACCTGTATATTGACGTTTATTTCATATTACGCAATTCTACTTACGCATCTGATTGGTGGCTGGGGGTAGTTTCGTTTTGGGCTGCTACAGTTTTTTTTTATTCCTTCACGTTCCCCAGTGGAACATAGGGCTCCAAGCTTGTGGCTTGAAGTTTCTGTAGCAGTGTTTATTTTATAGGATGGGTTGCTAGCCTCATGCCCAACCTTTCCTCTTTACCAGCTTTATTTCTGGTTTGGCGAGGTAAAGGAGTGCGTCGGCCGGTGATCGAACCTTGGACCATGTGCATGGTCGGCGAGCGTCCTAACCACTATGCCACCGACGCTGCTACAGTTTAGAGTCACCAAAATCTAGGTACGAGTGAAAACAAAATACCACAGACCAAATTTAAGAAGGACTTCTCAACTCATTTCAATAAAACGCACAGTATGAAGTCAGATAAACTGACAATGAAAAAGTAAACAACAGCTGACTATGAGGAAATCAAAATTTCACTTTACTTCCTAGACCGTGTAACTGGGTTATTTAGAACCTGAAAAAAGAAGGATCTCAATCACCTTGGAACTTTTAAACCATGCAACAAGACATGTCAGTGGCTTGATGCCAGTGACGTTTGACTTTTCAATAAGATTTAGTTGGGTTGATAAATTATTTAAAGAAATAATTTCTGAAGGTGACATTTTGGATATCACTGAATTACAGGGAGAATTCGAAACACTCGACACTGGTCATCGGATTTATACATCGGTATGCGTTACTGAATTACTGTTTCAGGTTCAATAAAACCAATGAGACTGAAATAAGTGATTCATTTACGACTATCTTTAGCTGTGGCGCTGACAGAAGCGACGAATAATGAGCTTCTGAATTATTATTATTACTATTAAATGTCAGAATATCGATGGTTTGCACTTTGATATCGGCTCATAATTAAAACAGTAAGTAAGAACCAAAAAAGGCTGTTTGAAAGATCTTATATGATGAGATTCCACAGTGGCATCCTTTGAAAACGAAAGTCCCAAGACATTTCCGACTACATTTGGGCATCAGTAACACTACAAAACTAATGAAAAATAATTCAAAAGGACTCTGGATGTGTATACCATTTCACTGGCGTCATAACTACGGAATCAAGTTTTGTGAGTAGAAACAAACTATAAAGCTGTTTGGTTAACCATATAACTACCCGTTGATAATCCTAGACCAAGTTGATTGCCACGCTTTAGCATATGAACTTTGTGGATGAATACTTTGAATTCTTACGTAGTGTTATTGGTTAGACTAAGCACTCGTCTTGGAATTAACCACCAAACATTTAACAACACGCGAAGCCACTAGATGACGAATTTTTACAAGTCAGACGAGTGGAAGCGTGCATCAAAAAACTTTAACCTGACACAACATATCTGTTAATCGTATAAAGACAGTGATTGGTAAGAACATTTATAGAACTGAAAACTAATTTATTTCCTTTTATATGTTGGCTTTGTAACATTTTGATTTTGTCAGGTTTAAAAATCAGTCAGGGGATCAATGAAAGGCAAGGATAGATGTTTCGTCCTAGATTCGGATAATGCATCAGTGAGCAGAGGGTAAATCCGAAACGTTTACAGTACGAAACGAACACGTTATCAACCAGCCATTAGGTCGGGATCTGATGGACAAGGAGCTGGAAGTTTTATCATAACAATATATAATCCCACCACATGAATGACCAGGGATAGATTAATAAACCCTATTTTAAAAACATATAATATATCTATTCTTCAGTTGGTAGGAGTGTTCTTGAAACCTGTATTCTTTCAAAGAACGTTTGACAAAAATCTGGTTGTGTGCGAATCCTGGCGGGATCGTATGGGAGATACTGAAAAGTCCCGAAATTGGGAGAAGCAATTACGCAGTACACCTTGATTTCCTTTAGTATGCTGAGACGACGGCTCGTGATAACTGTCTCATTATTTGTGCTTGTGATGTGTGCGGCTGTTTACATTAAACAGCATTACTAGGGTCTACTGAAAAGCTGGGACTTAAAATAAGCTCACATAGAAAGTGGAAATGAACAAATCACATCCCAGATTCTTCATTCATCCAGAGAGACAAAATTAGTGAACTACCGTCAATAAAACCCAACTAAATCTAAGCCAATACTCCAGATCACTTAAATCATCTATAAATACTATATTCTATACAAGGGCTATTCTCGGACGGTTGATCTATGAGAACAGTCGTTTCGACCACCGTAAACCAATGGACCATAGTCATAAAAGTCCGAAAACGGGCTTTAGGTACTAGTTGTTCGTTGGAGTAGGTGACACTGGCATCAGTAGACAAACTTGTCGCAACTCAAGAAGTACAGTATGCAGATAAATGATACTTAATACAACCACTTCACACAAGACTGAATGAATATTTGATATGTTGTATTTAATAATCAGTATACGGCGTACAAAATCCCTTCGTCCACATAACATGTTAATAAGCACACCAATTCACCATTTCAAACTTACAATAAACTCAGGAACTTACTAGACCTGTAGTAGTTTTATAACAACATTAGAAAAATCTATAAGCTGAATGCAGCTAACAAAATTTACAAAATCATATACTAGCCATCCAGACAAAGCCATGTTATTGTGAAGATTTCAACCATGAATCAAAACAAATAACAAATGAAATAATGGGAAAGTTTTGCAGCTCAGGTGGATAATTTTGATTCAGTCGTTTCCGCTGAAGATGTTGTCTAGAAGGACAACAAAAGCTTCCCAATTAAACCATCCAGCTCAAAGAACACAATTAAGTCTCAAACAAATAACAACCCATTGCCGTTCCACAATGGACGGCTTTCGCGACCCAAGTGACCTAGGGGATAGAGCTTTAGCGTTAGTGACTATGGGTGCTGGGTTCGAGTCTGAATGGGAACACCAACACTCACTCGGAATACAGGTATTTCCAGAAGACAAATACCATAGAGGATTTCACCGCTAGTCATTGTCCGAAGAATGACGGTGAAGTTGGACTTCCGACAGGGGCAAACAACCTTGGTAAGAGCCATACCAGTGAAGCTAAGTCTGATCTCCTATTTCAATTCTAACCTTAATCTTTCCTGAACGTAATCCTAATCTATCCCTAACCTGACCATACCCTCAAATTGCCTAACTTTAATCTTTCTTCATGCCAACCTACAGCTACCCGGATATCCTGTTTAGTACTGTTACACTTCAGGTAACATTTTTTTCATGTACATATTGTTATTTACCTGGTTTTAACTGCCTTTCTGAACACTGCCAGATCGTTATACGTTCAAAATTTAAATTCACTTAAATAACTATCATCATCCAATAAATAGTTATAATTAACGTCACATTTAATAACATAAGGTGGATATAGGGTAGCAACAATAAACTGAAGCTTATGGGTTCACACTGCCTTACATTAAACAACTATTCATTGTTTAAAAAAAAAAGTTTTGTAATCTAGGAGATAATAATATAAAACCCAGTGATACGACATGGAAAACCAGGATGATCTATTCTCCAAGAGCAGTAAAACAACTTGAAAAATGCTGTCATTTTAAACGAATTATGAACACCTATGAATTAACGTGCTTCTGGTACAAGGGATAGCTGAGTTTCTTCTAGGACTGTAAAATTACTACCATAGAGCTTATTCTAATTTCCCAGTACATGCTCTGAAAATTAATAAAGATACAAGACTACCAGGTGGAATAATACTGACAGAACACCAGTTATTGTTTAAAAATGATTACTTGAAGTTTATAATTCCAATAGCATGAATATAGGATAATTAATTACTGAATCTGAACAAACTCCCAGTACCAAGTAGTGAATAAACCCAGACTATGTCTGACAAAAAAGGAACCAATAAACTTACTTAAGGTAATCTTGTCGACACAGTAGCATGTTTGAGCGAACGAAAACAGAAGGTCCCAATTCATCTAATCGTAGACCACAACATGAACAATTAAGACATGAAGTATGCCAAAAACGATCGATGGCGTTTAAAAGGGTTTTTTCCATTATGGGACCACCACATCCTGCACATGATATAGACATCATTAAATCCAAAAGGAACTTCACATGGACAGAAAATGAACCGATACAGATTGGTGTAATTCCTGAGTGAATAGGTTAAACACGTGCCTAACTAAATTAAACTGAGATTAAAACAATATCATGGTTACGCCCGTCTCTATACAAATACGTTAATTTGGTGTGTATGCTACAAACAGTATAGTGTCTACTCGAAATTTGATTGGTTGAATTAGCTTGTCATATTACGCTCAGACTAAGTGACATCCAATAGAAACACTGGATTTACATTCTAACCTTGACCCATTGCCTTCATTGATTAATTGGATTGAGGACAGGTATGATAGTCTAAACACACATGCATCCAAATTTATTACCTGAGTTCCAAGGTTATTCATTTAAACAATGGCTTTTGCCTCACTCGTTATTTTTGCATGAGTCATTGGTAGAATAATTTCTCTCCATCTTTGTTTAAAATGTATTAGCGAATGCTATACCCATTTAGTGGGTTGTTTCATTCTCCTGCAAATATTTTGCACTTCAAATTGCAGTAGGAAATGTTTGAAATATAAATGGAAATAATCAACTTTCAACTTTAATTTAGCCGTGTAAATTGTCCGTTGTGAGAAGCGGAACCTTCATGATCTGAGCGTATTTTATGTCTCTTCAAATTAGAGTAATTTTGAACACTGAAAAATACATACAGAGATGTCATTTTTAGCTTAAGAGAATCAGTGTTATGTAATGCATAATATAGTTCGCATCTATAAGGCCAGGTCAATAATATTACTATTATTCATTTTACGTACCGATTTAGCAGGAGAAAGCTGCAATACATAGCCATCCAGATAAAGGATTAGGGGTAATTAAATCGCGAGGATTACATTATTAAATACAATTTTAAAATGAGAGGAAAAGAACCAAAAATTATTGATAGGGACATTTCGAAAATTCTGAAGAAATTGGAGGATGAGTCCATTATTATTCCCCACGTGTGTGAATTTGTTAAGCCGTCTGGTTCATCCATTCCTCGGGTATAGGGTCTCCCGAAAATCCCTATGTTTGTTTGCTGTCAGATATTACTTATGTAGCTCAATGCACTTTCACTTGAAAGGAGTGTTCTATTAATATTAGATTGTTGGAGGCAATCGGCAGGAAGCCTTGGACCTAGGTTTCGTACTAGTTGGCACTCGTCAGCAAGCAAATGAATTCATGTTTAGTTTGCTCACATAAAGCAATCTCAAAAGCCAAATAGTACAAACTATTTGGAATAAGAAATACTTGAACAGGATTCCTGCAGTATGATTAAGTGGGAACCGATTTGGAGTGTGTTCGTTCTGACACCAGTAGAGAAATGAGAAATCGAAAGTACACAACACACTTTTTCAGTTAGACTTCACTTAACTATGTTATTCGGAACTAGCCTGCTCTGGCTTATTATAGGATTTCGATTTTCTGTAATTTATTTGTAGTAATCACTAACCAAGAACAGAGACCTCAGAAGAACATGTAAGAAGAGCAATCAAAAGTGAGTTGTTTTAGTCGAGATGTCAAAAGATTTGAATTATGTTACCTGGATGGTTGCACCGATTCATATTGGTATGCTCAATACTGTGACAAGGAGACGCCATATCCAAAATCTGACAAATGAGTAATCCTGTTTTTTGAATTTTTGTTTGTTCATGCACATGTAAGGTCAACAAGCATGTCACGTTCATATAAACTAAGGAAATTGTTTACTTGTCCCTCACGTTCTTAATAACATTTGTCATCTGACTTCCAGTTGACCGCCTTTTGTTTTTTTTCCCTTCAAGTTTGTTGAATTTTGTCTGGGCGACCTTCTTGGCCTTTATTAGAGCGGTTGATGATAATATCATGATTTTCCGTTAGTTTTGTAAGTTGGTCTACATGGTTTCTGGGTTATAAATTTTGAGAAATCAGCTTTGAATTGGTAAATTGATAGCAATAACCAAGGGCAGTTTATCTGAATAGTTGGAATTCCGGTTACAGTGCAAGTATAAAATCGAAAGTTTGACGAATTAAGCTTTAAGATGATACTTGAAAGCTGAATGCAGATAGGCCATAGCAGAACTTAAGACCTAGTAAAAAAGCTTGTCGAAAAATGACAGAAGAATCATTATGCGATTATCACTTGGAAATCTCTTGCCAACTTCCATCAGCTTGAAGCCTTCTGGATGTTTATATATATATACATTTGATAAGGTTAAAAATTGGGGTACCTCAGTGTGTGTTTATAAATTCACCTGCTCGTGTGGAGCTAGTTATATCGGCCGCACGAAGCACACACTTTCCAAACGCATCTCTGAACATTATCCGGCATGGTTAGCAAAAGGACAATGCAAGGCAATTACTAGCTCAATTCTCCAGCACTTGGTGAACTCAGGCCACGTAGCTCCACCAGAGTCGTCTTTCAAGATCATTTACAAGATGAGGTCAAATGGTACAAAGGGCGTCAGGTTTCGGCATTTGTGAATTGTGGAGACACTGGCAATTCGTCCATACCACTTCGAACTCTGTATACAGAAAAAGTTTGTCCAGTCTCTTATTCTACCATGGTCTTAACCTCTTCACTAATCGTTCCCTGTAAAAAATTTTAATTATTTTACCTTTCACTTTTACTTTTAGTTTGCTTTTACTTTAATAATTAATTCACTATTATCACTCTCATATGCTCCTTTTGTACATTTTCTCACCCTCTTCACACTTGTTAAATTGACACTCAACTACCTTTATTCTCACTCAATAGCAATTTTATTTATTTTTATTTTTGATTACAGCTTGATGCCACACCGTATTTTCAGTACAAGTATGACATTTTCAGCATGGATATCGGTAGCCCAAATTTTGCAGGCCAACCATAGATATCGGGTGTGCGCCGGCAGGGGATCGAACCCCGGACCATGTGCATGGTCGGCGAGAGTCCTAACCACTGTGCCACCGACGCACACTCAGTGGCAATTTTAACCTTATTAAATTTCTAACTTTGAGTACCACATAATTTACAACTTTTATTTTTTACTTGTAAAGCCACTTCCGAGTAATTATGTCGATTGTATCACCCCCTATTACTCAATGACAGACTACGATACATTTTTGGTAAATATAAATCCAACTGTACAGCCCGTGAAGATGATTTCGTCGATAAAGAGAATTTTATTCGCTGAATTCGTCTTTTATTTTCTTCATGACTCAATGATATATATATATATATATATATATATATATCCAAAAGAAATACGTCCAACCCCTGTCCCTGCCATGGCCATCATAAACAGGTAAATTTTTTTATTAATGACCATCCCATCGCCTTTCTTATCTAAACTTCCTGTTTATTCATGTTATTTCAAGTTTTTCTTAATCCCTGTCTACACTACCATATTTTCATATCCACACTTCCTGTTTATTTTGTCATTTTACTATTTCTACATATTTAATCCCTGATTGCATAAACAATTATTCATCATATTAGTTTTTTATCCAAACATCCTGTATATTTTGTTGTTTCTACATCTCTAACCCCCAATTGCACAATGTCAATCTTCTTAGTTATTATAATGCAACTTTGTTTGAGTTTTATCCGTCCCCCTGTTTATTATGGCATTCTAATTCCTAATTGTAATTTTTATTAATTTGACCCTTAACCGGAAATTATTCTGGAACTTTCCCATCGATTTGATATAAATACACGAATGTACAGCCTAGATGATGACTTCGTCGAAAAGAAAATTTTCTTCGCTGCAATTGTCTTTTTAATAACTCCTATGACCCAATGTATATATTCCGTGATATATAAGTGTTTAAAAACAAATTACAGGTGAAGTAATATACTTAAGTATTTTCAACAGTTTCAAAGAAAACTCAGCCTATAAGTCTTAACGGTACAATAATGGAAGATGTTTTTGCGCCTAATTCTAGAAAGCCTAATCTGACAAACATTCACCAGCTTAATGCTACAGATTAAGAGCTGTCTTCAGTGGTCATTTCATTGCAGAAAAATAACTTAATGAACTTTCTAAAATTCATTATAGCAGTTGTATAAGATGTGTTCTTCCAAGATGCTTTACAACACAGTTGCGTTCGACTATCAAGAAGACAGTGGGAATCACCGAGAAGTTCGATACATCAACTTCTTACTATTAAGTTTTACAGAATTCTTACAGAGTAATCCTTGCAAACTATTTAGAAGTCTAAACCAATCGTTGAAAGAAGTTCGAATCGGTAACTTCTATTCTGCGAAGTCAGTTAAAACTCTCCTGTTACAGTTGAGTCACGAATATATATTTTTTGTAACTATGTCGATATTATAAGCTTCATTTTAGCCTCAATCTCTTCATTTACTTGCTTTTAACCTGTTGAAGACATACTTTGCGCATCATTTTTCATATGCATAAATTACTCACATACTGTTGATCCCCGCTTTTATCTTTCCGCTCGAATGAGGTTACAGATTATTACATAATCACTTCCCCATCCAGGATACGCATCTTTCCCTTCCCTAATACTATGTTATTAATAGTAAATCATACAGCGCTTAATTATAAACCAGTATTTGCATCCCATTAGCTACGAAAACATTAAGTTTCTCGGTTTGTATAGTTTAATTGCTTTTTATTCAGAAAACCAATGAAGAATATTGAGAGTAAGGTAGTTTTATTTTGATTAATTTTCAGTCATAGCACATAAGGAGGTTATACCCAGAAACTGCTGGTAATTTAAAAAATCTCGTGCAGAAATACACCTAATTAGTTAGACTCCAGTGAGAAATCTCATCCTGGCTTCTTGATGCTACGTTGAATAATTAAGATATTCAAGGTTGTGTCTAACTTACTTGATATTAACAAAGGTGGTAAGGAACTTTTGTAGTATCAGGTAGTATTCTGCAGCAACTGGATCTAATCATCTCAACCTTAAGGCACCTTCTGTACTGGAAGGCAGCATTTCGGTCTAATAAAATCAGTCAGCGGGAAATCCAAAAGTGGTAATTTCACCAAATAACAAATACATGTTATCTATCTTCAACAATTCAGTTAGAATCTGATTAATAGCTACAATTTACCTAATTTCTTAACCCAAATACAAATTAGTCTGAGTGACAGTTACACTTATTTTTAGTATTAGCATTATAACTACCAATACTTAAGAATAAGAGACTGTCGGATCATTGTGGTTTCATGTTGT